CAAATCCACCAACACCTACACCAATTTCAGATTATACTCCATCATTAGCTCATTCATCCACTTCAACAGAATCATCCAATAGTACTAACCGTGCTTATAGAACTTTCAAACGTACATTCCCAAACCACCCATTCCCATCCAAACCCGGAACCGCCCGAGAATATATCAACCTTCCAGACCACACCACTACTACGAATTTTCTTCAAATAACCGTACCTTTATTTCCCCAATATACACTTAATCGTTCCGACTCTAGCCCTGAACCACGTCACTTTGTAGATGAACATGTTTTAATACCCACACTTCATTGGACAGCTTATTATAATTTCACTAACTACCTTACGCTACCACTCTATAACACCACTATCGATATTGAACGAAATAAGGACGAATTGTTTAGATTAACCACAGCACTCACTCTCCGACAATGTACATAAGTAGGATATAAAAAAATTACTAAAAACATTCACTGTACCCCGCGCTAATGACTACTCAATTGAATATTATGATCATAACATCATCAGATCTAATCAAGATCAATTTCTTGACGACGATAAATTCGCTAATCATACATATTCACACTTAACATACTGGATGAAAAGCATGATCACATTATTTCAGAAGCACTATCAGACATCAAAGCGTATGAACCATTTCACAAAAAATTTGAAACATTTTCACTAACCTTTCACTTCCTGACACCAAAAGAACGCGATTTGCACTGCTCGCACGACATCATGTTGAAAACTAAGCAAACACATACTTATACTTCTTATCGTTTTGTCCAAAATCATTTTCATTTACACACACCATCACAACAACCTCACCACAGATTTCATTTCATTAATTCCAAATACAGCTCACCATTTTTTCTAAACTTCAAGTATTGCATTAAAAATACTAACTTCCAAGGCATCCTCCGGAATTATGATCCCGTCACTCAAATGTATACATTTTGTCCCCTCACGAAGACCTTCAACGACGAAGAATCCCGACCCCTGGTCTTTCCGCATGAATATATTCAACCCATAGAAGTACTCATTTTAGAATTCATCCACAACACTAAATACAATCATAAAATTTACATACTAATCCAGAACACACCTCATGACTTTGCAGTAGGCACCAAAGAACTAAAAACCATAAAACCACTGCAATTGCTTTGGCCACTGCTGCAAACTAAAAATATAATACGCATACTAGCAAAACTACTAACTACATCAGACGCAATTCACGAAGTTTTCCCTCACGGCTTTTTCCCCGACGACTAAAGGTATTTATGAATTTAATAATTTTCGAACTAACTAATTCAAAATAGAACTAACCATTTTATTCAGTAATTTGCATTTTCTTTAGTCTTCACATCACGATCACCTTTAAAACAAGAAAAGACAAATAAAAACATAAACTCTGTTTTCCATTTTAAACTCTATATAACTAATAGCACTAAATGATACAGTAAAAGTTAATTCAAAGCAGTAAATTCATTTCTAAATTATTTCTTCAAATGTAGTAAATTTAGATACGATGAAAATTGATTTATACTTTTCAATCCAAAAGCAGTAAAATTTAGTCTTAAAAGCAGTAAATTCATACAATGCAGTACGAACCTTTTCTATAACTTCTGTTCAAATGCACAGAAATTCTATTCACAATCGCACAGCTCGCCCACGAAGAATTGTTTAAAATAATGAATTCAAGTTTAAAGTTTGCACTAATAACAACTCAAACAAGCAATAACAAGTTTCCACTTTTCCTTTATTCCGGTTGGAATGGAAATATATGAAAACCAAACTAACCAACGCAGCTTACTAAACACCATAAACCATAAACTAACAGCATGACTAAGAAAAGAAAACCCACGGTACCCAAACCGGATTAAACCAGCTTAAAACTGGACAATTTATTCTTTTGAAGACTATTACCAAGTCTGAAAAAAGAAACAATAAAACAACAAAAAGTCGCAAGACAAACCCAAACCAAAAACAATTTGATTTTGAGAAAAGGACACAACCAACGAAACAAAAGGAAAACAAAAATAAGATAACATAAAAAGTTAACACAAATCAGGACCCCTTAAAAAACCAGCACGAAATCATACTCCCCTTCCTGGCCTAACCCACCAGAGAGGACGTCCTGAGCATACTCTATAGCCAGCCTAACCCACCGTGCTACATCCACGCTTTTTGACCACATCACTATTTTTTACAAGAGGTACTCAAGTGTGAGTAACTCTTAAAAATAACTGAACTAGAACTAAAACGCGTTTGCGAAAACAATTAATCAAAATCATAACTAAAAACTAGAATTAGCAAATTTTTATAAAATGTAAAATATAATATGCAGTACATAGATCACGAACAACTACAAAATTGAGCATCCAAAGACTAGACGACCCCATCACACTCAACCTACAGAATGGCTAAATACAACTGACATGCCGCTCAGAATCACGACTCATAAAGGATTTAGAGTGCGTTTTGACTTCGCAGAAAATGATTTCATTGAAGCAGACCAATGGTCACCTCGATGTTCAAGTATACGTAAAGATCCGAGTTACAAGGCATCCCCTCCAAACACGATCTTCACGCCATTCCCAAACCAGATTGAAACACAGTTCTCCACAACCAATCAAGAACAGACGATCATAGCAAACCATCTTGGAATCAGATTGATTTTTTTGACAGTCGAAGTCTTTGTCAAACGATAACTAATAACTTCCTATCGATGACTCCAACTTCCTGAAGCTTTCTTCTCCAAGAACAAGAACAGGAAATGATGCTCGCCAAATAACAACGACCAACATCCATCATTCATTACAGATAGGAGATCTAAGATTCAAAACTCTGTAAACCCCGAATGGGTGGAACCAGATTTAAACTATTTTTGTTGTTTTTTATAAATTGGATATTTTATCTCTATAAAATATTTATTATTAACCAATCACGATCCATCTAACTAACAACCCACTTAATTGTAAGTGCAGAAATTACTTGTATTTTAAGCACCAGAGAGATTTGAATTTAACTTAGAAATTAGTTACCTCTCCAAGAGAACTTTAGCAATCGCAATAAGCCAGTATACTCTAGATCTATTGAGCCTAGCAGAGACTAGTTAAACACCATGAGACTAGTAGATATAAGAGTAAGACTAGGATCGGTATTAGACTAAGAATTTGCACGAATCTCTCCGGCCGAAAATAAGATAGTGTGACGAGCAGACGGTGTAACCTATCCGAAATTACTCTCTCGAACTTAAATTACTATTTGTAATGTTTGGTTAGGGTGTAAATGCACCTAAAAGCAAATATCAAATTATTCAATGATAAAATGTGCTAGCAACTATTTTTGCTTAATTGCTTTAAGAATTCGTTAAATCATCTGTAGTTATCAAACTTGGGAATTTAATTTTCGCAGGAATTCTGAAGCCGCAAAAACTTAGTTTTCGAAGTTTTTTAACGCTTTCTCGGCAATAAACAATTCTTAAAAGTTTGTTCTTTCTTTTTCTTTTTTTTTATTTTTAGTTTTACCTTTTGAAAAAAATTGTTGTCTGATATGCAATTACGATTACTAAATAATGTGTTGACGAAATAACCGATAGATAGGAGAGAAAGCTCCTGTAATTTCAATTATTTAAAATCTATTTTGGTCAATTTTACAAAATTTTTAATTGGTCTTTGATGCTTCATCTGTTGTTGTCCAAAATGCTCCAACAAAATAAAAAGAAATTGATTTTTTTTTATCAGAGGCTTTTGAATGCGTTTGTTTGCATTGAATTCTATAGCCAAAAACCATTCACTTTTCAATGAGGCTTAAAATAAATAAATTGATTTATATGAATATTAGGGGAGGTTTTTACGTATCTTCCGTTTTCCCCCATTTGTATTTAATGTTGGTTACATTTTTGATTAATATTAGACTCGGAAATTTGTATTGGGGAGGAGATACTCCCAACGTGAGAGTCATGTGTTTAATTTTTTGCATTTTCTATTTTTATTATAAATTTTTTATTTGAAAAAAAAATTTTTTTTCTTTGTTTGTTCGTTCATGAGTTCGCTGTTCAAAATGATTGTGTTACAGTTTCGTTCGAACAAGAAAAAACTACGATAAAGTTTTTTCATGATTCTTAAGTTTTTCATAATGATTTTGTAAGCTATTTGAATTTAAAATTTTAGAAATGAAGTAATCAATTTTGGGAGGATTTCCTTGGATAGTTCAGGTCATAGCTGCGACTTGAAATTTAAAGTGGTTCGTAACTTTTTGCCCATTAAGTTTGGAGTCCTCCTTGAGTTCATTAAAACTTTACGGGCTTTCCCCCCTTGTTGACGCGAACTGTCTTCATTAAGAGTGACAAATTTACGGTTATTGTTCATTTTGCCTCGGAGGCACTTTTCTCGGCAGGGGAAACAGTTGCTTTTGTTGATGATACCTCACTCAAATGTGCCGATTGATTATTTCTCTAGTCCTAATCTGAAAAGTGAGCTTAATGCAGTTTTAATTGCCTTTTTACTTTAAAACAGTACAAAGCCGAAGCAAAAAAGGTAAGTGTGATCCCTTTTTCGTTTTCATATTCAGATTAATCGGGTAAATTTTCTAAGCGTCGTTTTGTCGAAGCTCAAGTAGAGTAATAGACGTCTATAAAAACGATTAATTTGTAAAATTGCATTGGTGAGCATAGGATTTGTCATTAAAAGCTATATACTTCATATTATTTTTGCTACAATTTGAAGATTTATAATCTGTTTTATAGATTCTTTGAATTGTGATTATAAAGTAGCATTTCAACTCCTATTACCAGCTTACGAGGTATCTTTTAAGCTATTTCAAAGCTGTTTTTAAATGTTTTTCAAATTTTCAAATATATATATTTATTCTTTCTCTTCAGTAAACACTTCATACTTTTTCTCCAATCAGATTCAAAGTCCAAAAGTCTGCAAAAAATAGATTCTCTGTCACAGATTGACATTTAGGGCGGAACTGAAGAATGAGAAAAAGTGAAATTTAAAATTCTGTTGGTTCTTGGGTTTCTGTAACAGGAAGTAGTGTTGATGTTCCCTGATATTTGATAACTCATTTTTTTTGGATACAAATCGAAGAAATCATTGTGAGTTTTACGAGCATATGTCATTATCTAAAATGGATATATGTAAATAGCTGGATTTCGAGAGAAAAGGTAAGGTTCCAAGCACTTGTTTTTAAGTTATTCATTCATTAAAAATTGATTCGGAATTAGTGTTACAAAATGTTTAAGAGAAAATTTAGTAGAATTAGTAGTAGTAAAAAAACTTGGACTATTAGCAAAAAATTGGATTTTATAATAGTTTTAATGATTTCAATTAAAAGTTTTGAAATTATTGTTCATGAAGAAACTTGACAATGTATACAGTAGCGGATTTAGAGGAGGGGGGCGGGGGGCGGACGCCCCCTCCCTCAGGAATTCGACCCCCGCCGACCCAAAGGTTCACCCTTTGTACTATTTTGAGATATCTATTTGTGGCTGACTGACCTTAAAATTTTTCTAAAGGCGCCAGCGGCGCCAGTCTATCCTAATTGGAGAGCGCGCGCCGAAAAAACGCAATTATTTGGTCGAAATTTTCCAAAAAATGCCTGAAAACGCCTTTTTTGGGCTTTTTATCAAAAATTTGGCTGCGGCGCACAAAATTTAGTCATATTACAGTCTTTATAGTGGTTTGGTCGACTCAAAAAAAAATTCGACAAAATTTTCAAATTTTTTTGAAAATCCGCCTCCCCCCTCGAAAAATTCCAAGATCCGCGCCTGAATGAATACATGTTTTGGCACATAAGCTGTCGAAAGTTATAGCCTTATTAGTTTAGTTTTTTAATTTCTTTTGACACTCGTGAAACGGCTCTTGCAGCTCTATTATGTAATTATCGTCATGAAATTACCCGTTATTTTTGCAAGGGCTTTTTTCCATGATAATTACACCTTAACTTTTTCTTTTTCCAGTTGATCAAGTTTTATTTATGAGATCTTGGAACTTCACGAAAAGTTCCACTTTGTACTATATAGTTCATTGGCTCTGCACATTTAAGGATTCACATGGTAAAATGAAGTTTTTTTCCCGGCGTTGTAAAAAAAGTAGCACAATGTTCAGGAATTCTTAAGTATATCGCCTACTCGACCTGACAAAATTAGTGGGTCATTAATCAGAGATGCCTGGACAAAAAATATGGATTAAAACTGATTTCAAACGCATTCAAATTGCTCGTTTTGTGTCCCCTAAGAACTGCTCAAATTGTTTTTAAACCAAATTAGTTCCATCTTGTGATAGTTTTACACAGTTTAGCCATCAAAAACTAAAATCAATTTCAATTAATACTTGGAACTCAATGCTGTTCATTGATTCAATTTTACATTTTGTTGTTTAAAATAAGGAAAAAACATTCTTTTGTTTCATTTTACTATGGCAAACAAAACTGCCACAGCCACTCGACATCAATCATGATGGGATATTGAACTTATGTTCCCAAAATTGGCTTTTGAACGTTAAAACCTTTGACCTACTTTCAAGTTATTTTTGGGCACTTTAAAAGATTCGTACTGTGTTCAAGTCGTTATTTAGCTGTTTATTGTAAATTAATTTTTGGAATTTGAGTTTATAACCCATGAAAAAAGTGAATTATACCTGGTTTATCATCATATCGCAATTTCGTCTTTCAATAAAATTTTTATAAAAATAACTTTAAAAACCTGAGGACAAGCAATAAAAAACTTTCCTTCTCCAGTAGTTGCATAAATATTTTTAAAATTGTCAAATTTACCGTTGCCATCTGGCACGGTCTTTTCCTAACTTCCGGCAAATTTCAACGATTCGACCGAAACTTATGATTACTACGATCACTTTCTTTGTTTCAAAGCTTTATTGCTCCACAGCTTTACTTTTAAAAAAAATTTGTAAACGACCTTTTGAGAACTTTATTTTCTATTTTTTGAAATTTCGATTTTTTTTTGCATAAAAATGTGCCCAAATCTGAATATTGTGAAGGTTTATGAAAGATAATTTGCGAAAACTTAAAAAAAATGTCATTTCAATTCATTTTCTTTTTCCGTCTGTGGGCAATATCTATCTAAGTATATTCAGAGAATCAATACAACCCGAGTCAAATGATTTTGTAGGTAGTTTCATGGTTCGATTGCAAACCAAAATAACAAAACCAATTGATTTTATTTGAGGTTGGATGTTTGTATAGATATCAAGTAATCGGGTCTAAGACAACAAGCCGACGAAATATCAAGCCGAAGGGACTCCAAACCGACTATTACGAGGCCAAACTGTGCACTGGATAGGCACACAATTTTTTGTCTCTGTGTGTTTCTGGAGTCCATAGAGAAATCTTTCAACATGTTCCAAAGTGTAACTGGTTACCACTTACAAAACTTCCGTTATTTCCGCGTACAAACAACTGTAACGTAAATTTTTTGTCGGAACAGTTTTTGTATCGCGGATTCCGCAACAAGCGAATATTGCTAGCTGTTCTTGACTACGCAAGTGTAAGTGGATTCCACAAAATGTATGCGGAATCCACAAATGTAAGCGGATTCCGTAAACTATAAGTGCATTCCGAATTTTGTTTATTACTGAACTTGCTTAAAAACACTAAAAACTAGAGCTCGAATTCTTATATATAGCAATGCGGAATTTAAAAGGAAGGGCTTAACCATTGTCAGCGGAATCCATAAGCAAATCTCAAATCATTGGTTGTATTTTGGATACATAACACCGAATAAATTCAATATTTGGAGTTTTTGGGTTGAGCGTTTTTGGAAACACAGTGCACTGCATAACCCCAAACACTAGACAGTATTCGGGATTCCGTCAACCAAAAATACTGATCTAGTAAATTCCGATTCTAGTGAATTCATCATGGCAGTATTTGAGATGAGTCGAAAGTGAAATCAAATCATATGGTCAATTTTTTGTTTGAATATATGATGCTACGTCTTTTTGAATAACTTTAGAGCTAATTTTAGAGCTTTAAATGTCTTATTCTCAAGGGATCCGGGTTACTTTAAAGGGATCACTCTATCTTAAAGGTAGCCTCGTTTTTTGTGGAGAGTTTGACAGGAATTGCGATCGAAGTTGTTGAGTTTTGAGATCGAGGCTGGGTATGTTTGACAGGAATTGAGATCAAAGTTGGGTTGACAGGATTTTAGATTAGATTGAAGTTGACAGGATTTGAGATCGAAATTGGGTTGACAGGAATTGAGACCAAGCTTGTGGTGTTTCAAATGGTAGTTGATCAATGTAGTAATTGAGATTGAACTTTCTGGTGACCAGCTGGTCAACAAAAGATATAATTTTAAATGCTATACTACATTTATGCATATATGTAAAGGGAATCCGCAAACAAAATGCGGATTCCCCTTACAATTTGCGGATTCCACTTAAAATTTGCGGATTCCGCTTATTACTCGCGGATTCCACCTACAGTTTTGGATCCCACAACAGCTGAACTTTACTATACACATCTCTTATTCTTTGTTTGTGGATTCCACAAACTGTTCTGGATTCCGCAAACACGGTTGCGGATTCCGCAAACTTGCTTTTTCGAAAAGATTTTGAGCGGTACAGTGTTTTAGGTATTTGTTTGTGAAATCTTAAACAACAAAGAAGATCAAAGAAAAGTAGCAATGTTGCGGATTCCGCGACAAAAATGAATTTGGCCTGTTGTGGAATCCGCATACAATGCACAGTTTGGCCTAGTAATGAGATTTAAACTTTAAGGGCACTTCAAACACAAAACTTTAACCAGGAAAATGCTCAGTTTTGAAAATTTAAGTAAAGTTTCTTCATAGTAAGCTTTCTTCATCACAATGCACCACTTATGAGTAGCATCAAATAGATAGATCAGCCAGATTTGATTGGATAAGTTGAGATAAATTGCGGAAATGTGATAAATTACTCACGTTAAAAACCCTTGAAGCAACATTTTAATTTTTTAATTTTCTCAATGATCAATTAGAGTCTCAAAAATTATTTAAAAAAGTCAATAACTTGTAAAAAAAAAAGCTCATGAAGTTGAGAAACTCTTCAAAATAGTTTTCATAATAATCATATTTCATGACTTTTTGACAAAATTTTTGGCTTGCAGTCCCTAACTTCGCAATTCGGCTGGAAGCCCCGTCGGTTTATTGTCCGGCACCCCAAGTTATCTATATAAGTCGATTCAAATAGTTTTTTTTTCAGGCTTTCGATGAAAGTCGGCAATAAATAAATTAGGTAGCTTTTGATTCTAACCATTTTCTGAAAACAAAAATTTGGAGAGTGTAGAGTAAGTGTAGATTAACTATGATGCTAAAAACGTAGTACGAACAATTACTCCACCCACAAATTTGTTCCGAGCTGAAATTTGGTAAGCTAATTGGCTATTAATTTTTGTGACTCAAGTTTTAAAACTTAATGATGGAAATCAACGCTTTTTAGAATAAAATATTGGATATCAGTTAAGGGTCAGCCCTAACGTTCAGGTTTTTACCCTGATATACAGTCAGCCCTTTCTAGATTCGAGTTGAATTATGTTCTACAGCCAAAAAAGTAATTGTTTAACATCAATTTACAATGACAGACGTGGTGGAACCAGATCTTAACTAGTATTTATCATTGGTTATTATTATGATATTTTATCTCTATAAAATATTAAATACTAACCAATCATAATCCAGCAAACTAACAACCCACTTATTTGTAAGTGTTGAAACTACTTGTAGTTTCAACACCAGAACATTTTGAATTAAACTTAGAATACAGTTGTTCTCATTCTGGAACTAACCCGCGCAAACCGGTGTACACTAGATCTATTGAGACTAGGAGATATAAGAGTAAGATTAAGATTGGTATTGGACTAAGAAGTTGCACAAAATTATCCGCCCAAAAATAAGATAGAGTGACGAGCAGACGGTGTACCTTATGTGGAATTACTCTATGAGTATAGTACAAGATACATAACTCATCTGGTGTGACCAAAAGTCTCGAACAGACCTTAAATAACCTAGACTTAGACAAAAATTCGATTAGAATTAGACAAATACAACATTTTAAAAATGTTATATGATAAGAACTTAGTAGATATGTCTCTACGACTCAATAGATCAGATCCAATATTCCGAACAATACGATAACTACCCGGTACTGGACGAAGAAGTGGAGCAAG